TTCTTGAGGCAATGGTCAAACCTAACTCCAAGTAAGGTGTCCCCAGTGAATGGAAAGTGGCTTATGTGAGTCCTATCTTCAAGAAGGGCGATAGGCACTCCACGAACAACTATAGACCGGTGAGCCTGACCAGCATAATATGTAAAGTACTTGAGAGTATTATCAGAGATGCAGCGATGGAACATCTACTACGAAACAACCTTGTAAAAGATTGCCAACATGGTTTTATGCCGGGGCGCTCTTGCTTGACACAATTGCTCAAGGTATTGGATATTTGGACCCATATTCTAGAACGGGGTGGTAATATCGACAATATTTACCTAGATTTTGCCAAGGCTTTCGACAGTGTACCCCACGAAAGGCTGAAAATCAAACTGGAAGGGTACGGAATTCGGGGAAATGTCCTAGCGTGGATAGAAGACTTTCTACATGACCGCAAGCAATGTGTGGTGATTAATGGCACGAAATCGTCATCTGTACCTGTAACAAGTGGGGTACCGCAGGGTAGTGTATTGGGCCCGCTGTTGTTTGTTTGTTTCATAAATGATATGCCTGACGTTGTACACTCCTCCATACAAATGTTTGCCGATGACGCCAAGTTATTTCGGGAAATTAAGAACCAAGCGGACTGTGAAGAGCTGCAGAAGGACCTCTGTGGGCTCCAGGAATGGTCGAAGGAATGGCTGCTGAGATTCAATGTCACGAAGTGTAAGAGGATGCACCTGGGGCGTACCAACGGTAAGGAGGCGTACCATATGTCCCAACGGGATGAAGAAAATGTACTAGTTGAGACTGTGTGTGAGAAGGACCTAGGTGTGTATGTTGACAATGAGCTGAAGTTCTCGGGCCATTGTGAGAAGAAGGTAAATCAGGCAAATAAATTATTGGGTCTTATAAGAAGGTCGTTCAGATATCTAGACGGTCCGTCCCTCGTGACGATCTTCAGGAGTGAAGTGCTTCCCCATCTGGAGTACTGTCACCCCATCTGGTCCCCGAGATATGCTAGGGACTGTCAGTTGGTTGAAAATGTTCAAAGGAGGGCCACCAAGCTGGTGCCTGCACTTCGGCATCTCAGCTACCCTGCGAGATTGGAGCGCCTGAACTTGCCTAGCTTATACTACAGACGGGCAAGGGGGGACCTAGTTGAGGTTTATAAGCATCTCAGGGGGCACTACTCAGTTGAGTGTCCTTACTTGGAGCTGGCGGACGCTCGCCCCACAAGGGGTCACAGCTCAAGATTGAAGAAGCCGCAAGTCCGGAAAACCGTGAGGGCAAACTTTTTCGGAGTGAGGGTTGTAAACTCTTGGAACAATCTACCAGAAAGTGTTGTGACGGCACCGAGTGTGAGCTCTTTCAAGAGAAGACTTGACCAACACTGGAGCGGGTTCAGGTACATTCAGGAGCCGGTGCATGCCCAGTATTTGCCAACAGTGCGTGACAGAGACGTGACCGATCGCCCGGGCGGCTAGCGAGCCGACCTTTTGGTGAAGAATATAAAGGAAAAGAGTCGTGACCGATCGCCCAAGCGGCTAACAAGCCGATCAGCGGCGAAGAGGATAAAAGTAAAAAGTAAAAAGTAAAAAAAGTTTGCCGTGAACTGTTTTCAACTTCTCCGTAAAACCACAGAAAAAAATTTGCACAGAATTACACACTACTGTACACTGGAAAAATTACGGCACAAAATTATTAGCAATCTGGAATATTCATTAGTTACAGTGAAATGATTAGGTACCTGTACAGAGAAATGGTTATTACAAATCACACTTAAACAAAAATTACCCACAGTATCACATTTATTCCTCCTGACCTGATACCGTGTGAATTACATCCCACTGCTGCCGCCAATGTAACGGAGGGGGGGGGGCGTAACAAACAAGCTGCCAATGTACCGGCGGCTGTTTCTCTCTACTCATACTCTACCTTATCTTTTACTCTTACTTCTCTTGTCTTATCTTTAATTCAATGGTTCTTTCTACTTACTTCAATGGTTACTGCATAACCTTAGTTCTTTCTGGTAGCATGTCGAGGGCCTAAGGCACATGGGTATTGTAATTCTGGTATCAAGTCACTTGGACGGAAATAAAGGTTACTGCTGTGGGAGAAATGAATACTCCTAAAATACTCTAAGAACAGGTTTATTAATATGAAATCAAAGGGAAAAAGAGATATTATTAACATATAACTTCAAGGTGCAACTCCTTGCTTACTCAACTGCAAACTCAGTATTTCTTATTTACTTATTTTCTTAATTTTACTCCTCTGCAAGTTACTCAGATATTACACTCTTATTACTCACACCCTAACTGGTGTTACGTTACATTACATAGCAGGACCAGTTCCTTGGCCCTACTCACAATACATAGTTACATGACAACTCCTTGCAGATTACTTTACTTTTCACACCTACTGGTGGTACGTGGCATTACAGTACAGTTACAAGAATCAACCTTACTTAAGATGCTTCACAGAGTGTTGGTAGTGCATAGGAGATGCCCTCACACACAACACATTATTACTGATACCAACAAATACATGGGTCCACTACCCAACATGGGGTAATTATTAACAAACACATACAACCACACTGTGGACCATAACTCCAAGGCATGTCCCAGGGTATAGCACTGGCGCCTCTAACAACTGACGACTGCTGTTGTGGTCGGATACACTCCGACACGAGGCGGGTCTGGGGCCCTCGGCCCACGAGGTGGGCCTGCCGTTTCAATCATGTCGAATCAATGACATCGTTGATATTTATCTCCCTGCTGGGAATCTACTGGCTCCGGGGCAGTCGTGGGGTGATCCGAGAACCACAAATTGGATCTGGAGACAAACGGGAGATGACATGACAGAGGATGGAGACAAGGGACTGGGAAGCATGATGACAATACCATCACAACAAATCTCTTGTCTGGCAACGACAGACGACATTTACTTTATATTACTTACTACACTGGGTGAATGACAATTCTGCTGTTACAACACTGATAATGATGAACATTGATAATTCACTACAATGACTGAATCAAACTGAATGGCTATAAAACACTGCTACATACATGGGGACAAATGGGAGATGACGTGACGGAGGACGTCTCTCTCTGCCCGCCCATGGTATATATACCCCTGAGTTGCCAGTGATCGCTACTCACTCAATGACAGAAATTACAAACAAACCAACTGTTACTCATTCAAGGATGACCCTCAGTTGACAAAGGTCTGGCAAATTACTTGATTTGATTCACATAAACTAATCCAAGATTGAGCTCGCTAGAAGTGGAATAAACGCATTGACAATTGTGTTCGAAGGCGGGACTTACTGGGAGGGATCATGACTGTAAACATCGAATGGGAAAAACACGCTTCTTCTAGGGGATAGCTAGCCCACTCATGTTTTGCGTTCGTGGAGTATAATAAGAATCATTAGTGTTAAAACAGACTAGCAGTCAACGTGACCATGACAAAGTCACTCATTGAGAAATTGGTAAATGAAAAGCAGAATCATGGCTCGCATTAGCTTCATTAAAAAATTTTGTAGCATGCAAATATGACAACATATTTAATTAGAGTTAATTTTTTTAATTTGAATCGATGGCTTGCAATATTTCTGAGATATTTAAAATTGAGTCACACTCGAAAAAGTTGGAGAACCACTGAATTCTAGAGGACTGGCTAATTTTGGGGTCTTCTACAAATTTGGTGCACTTAATAATGAGTGAGTGTTGAGCATTATTTTATTAGGAAATACTCTTTAGTAAACAGGGAGAAGTCCAGGCTTCTGGAGTTTCAGTAGTAAGTTTATTGTGGAATCTTATTAGTTGGAAGGTCTTCCCACTGAGGAAGGCAGATTTTTTGGGTGGAGCTCTTTTCCTTCTCTTGCAGGATGGTTTATTGTGAATGAATTGTAAGAAAGGTGTTTTCTGAAGCTCTGTTTTTTGGAGGTAAGAGTTTTTATTTCTGCAACTGTTGTCAATTTATCAACCAGACTTAGGTATTGTACTTGAACTTTTCCATATCATGATCTGTTGGTAAAGATGGAATATTCAAGGTAAACACCACTCCATATTAACCTGCAGGTTTCATGAGATGCATTTTTTGTCATATCCAGACTCTGCTGTTCCATCTCTGTGAAATATATTCCTGGAACATGAACATTTGGGTGCAAGCTCCATCTCGGTGGTTTATGGTGTTACCATATGAATGGATGCGAGATGATGAATCCTTTCATTCAATACTTTTCTATGTAGTTTATCATTTGGTATATAGTACTGTACATCCTGCAAGAAAGAACAGATGCTTCACCATGTATTGGTACTCTTAGCCCATGGTGAATGGGGTCTCTGTGCTGAATAAAATTTTTGGCATTAGCCAAATCAAATACTGTACTGTATGTAAAGTAGCATTCTGTAGTGAAGGGTCAAGGTGAGATCTGCATCTTTCCTCCTATTTACTGCAAGTCTTGGAGAAGCATAAACTGATTAGTGCTATTACAATTTTAGTGCTTCTTTTTGACTAAGCGGAATTGGTTTTCCTCCGCTTCAACATGATCTAAAGCCTCCTCTGTTCTTCCCACTTTTGTGTCAGCAAGTGAGGATACTTCTCCTCTATCTGGCCTCAGGTTTATAAATTTCATCTGCTACATCCCTTGGGTCCCTAGTTTAGAGAGTGTGTTATATCAATTTTGGTGGTGGTGCACCTGGGATTCTTGATTGTGTAAATTACATTTATTTTTTGGTTGTACGTACTTCAACCCGATTTAGGGCAGGGGTTCATTTGTCAGATCTCTAAAGGTTTTGGTCACTCACCTAATTTACCCAGTAAGCCCTATACTTTTAAGCATTCATAGTTTTGTGTAGCCCTCACCCACAAAAAGATTACAAGATGAGGATATGTGTAAATGTTCAAAAAGTTTTTATCCAAATGATCCATTGTTTCTAGACACAGTAGTGTGCCCGAGTGTGTAGCCTGATATAAAAGGAATATGAAATAATAAACTCATCATTAATATATACCAGTACTTTATTTACATTCGACACAGTGTTGCCATTACATGTAAAGGTTCTCTTAAGTATAAATAATTTTACTCTGTACAGTAAGAAAAACCAACATTATTTACGATAATGAGAAGTATATAAAAAAAAAAAAAAGATTAATCAATGGTAGATGATTGGCCATTAAAACAACTAACAGACCTCACAGTTGCAAGATATTTACCAATTATTATAATGCTGTATGATAAAAAAAAAAATTCTAGAGGATTCCCTCATTTCAATGTTGAGTTTAAAAAATAAGGTATAAGTGAACATAGGAATAAATCACTTTCTGTACCACATCTGCAGAGTCTTCATCTTCTTTACTTTACGCTGGAGCTGCAGGAGAGAATAAAGGAGGGCCTCAGCTGTGGGCGGGCAACCTGGCACGTACAGGTCAACCGGGATTATGCGATCACATCCCCGGACAACTGAGTAAGAATAGTGATAATATCCACCACCATTGGCACATGAACCCATTGAGATGACCCACCTTGGCTCAGGCATCTGGAAGTAGGGAGAGTATTTCAGTGAAATATATAAGAATAAATACCAAGTACAGTATGCCCTTAAAATTTGCAGGGGCTTGGGTCTTAAAATGGCACACACACACACACATATTTACAATACAGGTAAAAGAAATTACTGTCTATAGAACGAATGTCTCCCTGTCCTGGCCGCGAGAATGCCGGCAACTTTAAAAAGTACCTGCAGACATTCAGGGTACATCCAGGGTGTCATCCGCGAATAATCGAGGATCGCGAATTAAAAATCCGCAAATTGTCAGGGCATGCTGTATAGTGCAATTCCTGACAAAAGCCAAGTGAATGCTGATTTTCCACTGTTGATAGAATATTCATGCTCAAGATGAAGAAATTTTAAACACCACATTGGATTAGCCAAAAAATGTAATAAGATAAGGATTATTGAAGACGAATACAGTACTGTATTCATCTATAATTCAAGGTAGCTGGAATGTAGATACAGTACTTATGAAATAAGACCACAGAAAAATTAGCTGTCATATAGGTCTTCGTGACTTAATGCCCAAAGTAGATGACTCATGTAATACCTAAGCATGGGTTTGATTGATCATGCAGTCAACAAATTAACAATTTAACAGCCTAGGGTTCCCAGTGGCACTGCATAGCTTCCAGTTTAGTGTCCACTTTAGATGTTACAGAATTCCCATACAACGTCAACTTTTTCTGATTTATACTACAATTCAATTGCAATAGTTCATAGTTCAAGTGGATATGGAACAGCTGTCATGAGAGGTGATATAACAGAGAATCCTTTAACTCAAGACAGACAGAGACAGACACACTCTCTTTGCCCAACCATGATACGGAGGACTCATCACCACAGGCACACACTGTGTCAAACCCCACTCCTTCAGTGCTTACCAGTAGCCAGTACAGTACTGTAAATATTCTTTTATGCATATAAAATTTGGAATGATGATCTCCCGAATTTTTCGGAATCGGAATGGATAGACACACAGACTGAGGTAAATCAATATACTGTACTGTATATTTGAAAGATGAAACAAAACACCAGAAATTATAAAACCTGCAAATCACTCAAATCATGAAGCCCACCCATGTAGAATTTACCCAAGAAAAGCACATACAAGTAATATCTCTTTTGGCCGGAATCCCTCAAACCCGTAACTCTCCAATAGCCGGAATTTTCTGGAAAATTCCATAAATTCCTGGTTTGGGAACAAGTTCTGTGGTTGAAAATCAGGGGCATTTTCTGGGAGGGGAAAAAATATAAAAAATCTGCCCAAATTTTTATTTCCGGATCTGGGAGCAAATAGCAAATATCGATTATGAAATAATACACCAGAAAATCTGAGAAAATTGCGAGAAAATCACTCCAAACCTTTCTACTGAGGGCCTGGGGACAAGGGTTCATGGCGTTATGAAAGACTGCATCATGTTTAGCCACAAGCTTTAACAAGGTTGGTGCGTGGGTGGGAAGACCAACTGCTTGGGTAATGCTGGATTTTTCTGCTTGTGGTTTATTTATAATTACTGAGCAAATATAAATGTTTCTTTAAATATATATACAATACTAAACAATTTAAATAATACAGTAATAGATCAATGTAATTCTGAGCTGAGCTAACTAGGCATACGATGAGGTGACAGTCAGATGGTGGGGTGAGGTGAAATGCCAAGACACTTACCTAGCACACACATTAACAGCACTACTAAACAATTGTCTTATAACATTTTACTTTATAATTTCTATTTTAAAATTAATGATACACGATGGCTCGATTTGGCTACTTTTGCACTTAGACAAATGATCAGTGAATAAACCAGGGCAACTGTAACCACAACTGCTGAGCAACCGCATAAATTATCCCAACCTGTGCCCAAATGTATTAAGTTAATTACATGTACTAAAATTAATCGCCATCTTGCAAGAATTCCAGCAGTAATTGGGAACCTGGATGTTAATTGATTTGTGGATTGTGTTCTGGGAAAATGGTTCGCCAGTGCAGTTGGTGAGTTGTCTGTTCTTCTTGGACTATTCCTTGACACTGGGTCAAGCAACTCGTTACCTTAGGGTGTGGTTGCTGTGTTGGCAACAGTTTCTACACCTTAAACAAAATTCCCTCCTAGGTGGCCCCAGGGCCAGCCATCCTCGTTACACGAGGGGAAACCATTATTATTATTATTATTATTATTATTATACAGTCAGCTGAGTGAAGGGTGTTTACATAAATAATTACAGCTCCAACGAGCTGCATCGTTTACTCTTGGAAAATATCACACTCTTTGCTGTAACACACAACTCTATTCACACCTGTATCATTAGAGCTTTTGTTTTTTTAAATATATTTATTTAACCAAACTTTTAGATAAAGTATTCAGGGTTATTTTGATAAAAAATGCTGTGTAACGAAATTAGAAATAATTTTATTGACTCCGGGATCAACATTACTTATTTTTTTTATATAAAAGAATGGAATTCCCATCATTATATAACATTGGCATTTTTCGTTTAAGGATATTTTCTTGAAAACGTCTCGTAGATAATTTATTAAGGATCATTATGGTATCAAATTCATCTCCCTATCACAATTAGCCACACTTGAGTGAGTTAGAGGGAAGAAAACTGACTGCACAACCCTCCCCTCATCCCCCAAAAAGGTTTGACTCCCCCACTCTCAGCACACACACACACACACACACTCTACATCCTTGACCACCGAAGGGTCAAGACGTACCTGGCGCTCCTCTCGGAGCAGCCAGGTCAACTGTTAAGTTGGCCCATACCAACCCCCTCCCCTGAACCCTCCTCCCCACCGGAATATCAACAAGTTCTCGCCAGAAGTTACAATTTCACTTAGGAAAGGAACGGAACCAGTGTTAAACAGAGGTGAACAGTGGTGTACAGTGCTTAAGTCAGTGAGAACAACTCAACAGTAACAGTCGTACCCAAGTTAACCTTCACACAGTGAGGTCCCAGGTACCCAGTGATAACGGCCCGTGAGACCCAACAAGAACCAGCGATGTGTTAATCCGTCTACGATAGGAAGGCCTAAGACCAAACCTCACTCATATAACACCATCTGTGAGGGAATTACTACACCACATGTCCCTCATAACACCATATGTGAGGGAATTACTACACCACGTCAAGTCCCTCATCACACCATCTGTGAGGGAATTACTACACCACGTGAGGTCCCTCATAACACCATCTGTGAGGGAATTACTACACCACGTCAGGCCCCTCATAACACCATCTGTGAGGGAATTACTACACCACGTGATGCCCCTCATAACACCATCTGTGAGGGAGTTACTACACCATGTCATAACACCATCTGTGAGGAATTACTACACCACGTGAGGTCCCTCATAACACCATCTGTGAGGGAATTACTACACCACGTGAGGCCCCTCATAACACCATCTGTGAGGGAATTACTACACCACGTGATGCCCCTCATAACACCATCTGTGAGGGAGTTACTACACCAGTGAGGCCCCTCATAACACCATCTGTGAGGTAATTACTACACCACGTGAGGTCCCTCATAACACCATCTGTGAGGGAATTACTACACCACGTGAGGCCCCTCATAACACCATCTGCGAGTGAATTACTACACCACGCCAGGTCCCTCATAACACCATCTGAGGGAACTACTACACCACGTGAGTTCCTCCTAACGCCATCTGGGAGGGAGTTACTACACTACGAGTTTGCTGTTCAACACCTACATTAATCTGTATGTTCACTGTATGTTCCTTTACCTTTCTCTAATGAAGGCTTTTGTTAAACCACCAATGTATGTAATAAGTCATTTATGTCCAATGTATATTTTCAGCCTTCGGGCTGCAGAATTTTTTCAATAAACCGTTTATTATTATTATTATTATTATTATTATTATTATTATTACACATACACACACACACCAAGGGAATTAAGACAGCAAGCATGAGGAGTGAGGGTCTTATTGTATGACAAATTTGCGTGTGTGTGACTGCATAGTAGCGAGTTAAATATCAGCTGCTGAGGAGCACTTAGCAACACTCATTTCCACTCCATCTCTCTAATTACCCACACCTTTCTGCTTTCTCATGCCATATTTTAATATGTTATGTAATGTTATGTTATGTTGAGGGATACAACTTTGCTCATTTATGCTTGTAATTACCACAATCTTCCTAAAAAATAGTAGGTTTCATGTTTATTCAAGACATCTTCAGGTCATGAGACCCACTAATCCCCCACCCAAGAAAGGGTGACCTGACATTCCATCAGAAAGTCAGCAATTTGAGACCATTAATCCCCCACCCTACCTCCACCTGACATTGAGTCATGTCAGATCAGTTACATGAGACCCACTAATCCCCCACAGCTCCATGTGAGTGGAAAATACCAGTCTTTGCTGAAACACACAGCTTCATTCATGCCCATATTATATAGATTTTAAATTTTTTAAATATATTTATTTAACCAAGCTTTTAGATAAACTATTCTAGATTATTATTGTACAGAAATGGAGTTTCTAACTAATTAGAACTGCATTTACAGACTCTGGTAGTTCAGACTCCCAGAAAACATCACCAGCACCCAGAAACTTAACCTCCCAAGGGGTCAGAAGGACTTGTAAACAGTATAGCTTACCGAATTATTCACAGGTACTCATTTAGGAAAAACCAGGCAGATAAAAATGTAAACAGACTCACATATGGCATGGGTCATGACAATACTTCTGTAACTATTCTTGAGTGAAAATACTAACCTGATCATAGACTTTTCTCAAGGCTGGGGCCATCTTATTGGTGAGTGTACCAGCCACAATAATGACATCTGCCTGACGTGGAGATGCTCGAAACACGATACCAAAACGATCAATATCATAACGGGCAGCTGCACACTGCATCATCTCCACTGCACAACATGCCAAACCAAAGGTCAATGGCCATAGTGAACCCTGGAGAAAATAAAAAATAATCAAGTAAAACCTGTTAGGAAAAAGATTTAATGTACAGGTATACAAAATCAATTAATAACTTGTCTGACAATCCCAATAAAGCAAATTACCCATATTAAAACACACATGCACACAAAAGCATGATGGAAGCAAGTATTCATATACAAAATAAAGGCTCATTGATTTAAAACAAAAGCTTATCAAAATTATCTATTATAGAACTACAGTACTGTACTACGTATTTCAATTATCCTGAGATCCCATTTTTGGGTAAAGCCCAGAACTAAGGAGCTTCAGTATTATTAGTAGGTCCAGGACCCAAAAGACCTTGACATAATGCCTTGGACTGATTTCAGTGATTAGCAAACCTCCCCCGTGCAATAAAACTCTAAAAAGGGGTTATTTGGAAGAAAAGGTTTTCCCCTTATGATCAGTAGAGGGAAAAGGCTGTATAACCAAGAAATTACAGGAGCCAGTGCCTCTTGTCTGTCCTCCAAGCTTCAATTCCCAACAAAACTTCCATACTAACCCATGGGAGCAGGGAAGGTTTTAGAGTCTCTTGGTGCTGCCATAAATGTGGGTTTGATCCTGAAAACCAATTTTATAACAGAGCTACTCAGTAGTTTGGAATGAACCATGAATTTTTTAACCCAGGCTTTTTTAAGTTTCCCAGTAAACCTCCTAAATCTGTACAGCAGTCCAAAGATCACACACTGCCCTGTCACATGTCATTCAAAATAACAACAATAAGTAAAAATTTGGCCAAACGCATGAGAATGTGATGAGTTATTATGAAGAAAAGCTTCTTCTCATTGCCCAGATCACATCTAGTTTAGCAGTACAGTACTCTTAAGTCAGGCTCACAGTAACAACCCCTAACTCCACTCTCCAAGGGTAATCCAGGTGCAATCTGGGGCACACCTCACTGGCTCTTTTTGTAGAATCGTTGAGATGTTATTTACTTGCGAGACAAACTTCATATCCAAGGAGTTCAGCAGCTGGTAGTGAAGGTGGTCCTTGACTTGACTTGATGTCTGTAGCTAAGGTAGAGGGACTACTGCTTGAGTTAATGGATAGGGTGGTCCTGTATTCCATATTGTACCATTTAAACTAGCAGATAAGGTGACTTGGTGTTTAAGACAACCCTAAATATTCAATTAAAAATTGTATTCCAGTTTTAAGCTATATTCACCATATAAGATGATTATAAAATGAATTTTAGTCATAAGGTTGAGGTTGTCACCATGGCTTACAAAAATTACAAATAATAATACTATAGCATTTAGTTTCAGTTGAAATGCATGATGGTCTATCAATATTAACCCTTAAAGCCTGGGTGACATTCCTCAACGTTCTTAATTTTTGCGGCATAGTATTTTGAATGTCCAGACGGGACAAAATACTTTGTACTGCATATTTGTTTAATTGGCAACTCAACTCACGCGTAACCTTTGTCTCAAGACTCATGTTTCGTGGTCGGTTACCTGCCAACTATCATGATGGATGCACGTTCTTTGACCTTTGTTCAGTATTTTATAGTTCTTTTGAGAAATTTTTTAATGTTTTGTGTTTTGTAGTAGCTATAACATAGAATAATATAAAAGTGCCTTCAAGTAAGAACTGTGTGTTGCAAGTGTGTGTCAACATCACTTCCCACTCGCTGTGGGCTGTGCAGCAGCTTCCAACAAAACATCTTTCATCACTCGTCATTGCTCATCAACACTCAAGACAACTATCCAACCATGCTACAATGAGTGTTGAATGTAAGTATGTTTGCCTCCCAGCTTTCAGTTAACTGAAGCTTCTTCATGTGCCCTTTTTAATAACACTGTTTTAGGAATATAGTTGATATTTGATTAGTCCCAGCCACAATAGGTCTGGCAGGGGCAGATCCAGGAATATCAAAAGGAGGGTTCCAAGAAGTCGTGAGTGAGGGAACATGGTGAGGACAGCGAACCCAACCAGCTGGGGGGTTTTGGGGGAGGAGGTGCTGTAAGCTTCCCCCAGAAATTCTTTTGAAATATGACCAATATCATGGACATTTTGAGGCCATTTTGAAGCCATGTGCATTTGACAATAGGAGATATTCTAAGGTCAATATTAATTAATTTTACTATACAAAAATGCCTGAGTACAATACAGCATTAAAGAAAAAGTACCAGGTATAGGAATTTTCTGATGAAATGGAATGGAGGTCCAGATCCCCAGTACCCACCCCCTGGATCCATCCCTGTCTGGGAGTCCTTGGGTTTCCTTTACTCTTAGCCTTGAGCAAAAAAATTATCTAGTCATTCCAGACAAGTGTAACTTAGCAAAAAATTTAAATGCTTCACTCCACCCATTTTCTTTCATATCAAACTTACTATCATTTGTCAATCTCCCTTATATACCAGTTCTTATTTTCATCACTAGTTTTATTCACAATAATTAATTAATTAACTTTCTCCTTTCCATACTGACATCCACACACGACTAAATATGCTACAGTACCTACCTTGCGCCCCCAATTAACTAAATCATCAAGTCTGGCCACAGCATACTCTGCTGCATTAGAGGTATTCTGGAAAGGTGAATAAGGCTTGTACTTTACAGGAGCAGGACTGGATTCAGGTGCAGCACTCTGATGTCGGCATGAAACTGCAAAGGCTCCACCCACAGCCCTTGCCAGCTGAGGCACACCTCCACGCCACACTGGAATTAGACACAGCAGATAATTTTATACAATCCATTGACAAGAGTTTAAAATTATATAAATCATATTCACAAAAATTAAATATTGTATCAAGAAATCCCATTTTACAACTACTGTACTGCACTGTATGGGGAAGAATTAAGTGACCTCTGTCAGGTCCATACTGAAAAGCCATCTCTTAGTAGAGTCTGCCTGCCTAAACACATTAAATAACAAAATATACAGTACAAGTACAGTACATTATACTGTACTGTATATTATGTGATTCAGAGGAGCTGACCTGACCTGATCACGAGATCTGAGGTCGACGAGTTCCATAATTTAAATAATAAGTTACTTTATGCACAAAGACAGAATATATCATACAGAAAATTCAAATCAAATAACAATGACCCCAAAAGGATAAATAGATATTTAAAGAATATTATTGGACAAAAGGAAGGCTATAGGTAGGAGAATAAAATGTGGTGAAGTTTACCTCCGAGACTTTATAATGTATTGGCTAGTAAAGTTAAGACCAAGATAAGATAAGCAAAGAGGAATAATAAACTGAAGGGAGCAAGGGAGGCAAAGTCAAACCCCAAGGGATTCTTCCAAATGTATCAACTAAAAACATGAGACAAGATTGGACCAATACAGTCGGATACCGGTGAGCTAATGGATAACGACGGAGAAATGAGCAAAAATCTGAGCAGATATTTTTCAACAGTTTTCACCACCGAAAATATAAACATGATACCTGAGGCAACAACAGCTAAATAAGGGAGAGAACACTTATCACACACCATTACAAGCCTTCAAAATTCGAAATTGCAGTGGAAGGCTGCTTCAGAATGATTGGCCAGCCAAGTCACATGACACGATACTTGAAGGTCATTGGTTGTCATGTTACAAAGAGGAGGAGGAGGGGACTCTGGCAACATGGTGGATACAGAAATTTACACCTAGAAAATTGTGAAATACAGTACTCTTTTAATATTGATTTGCACAAGAAATGATATGAAGTATTGTTTTTTGTTTTTATAGTCATTGTGTCTGTAATAATGAAAACTGGAAACCTGCGGTCAGCCAATCGACGAATATTAATCAAAAAGTGTCTTGGAATAGTCTGAACTACTGTATGTGAAAAACTTAATTTTTATGGAAAATTCGAAACCTGGCTATCATAAATTGACCGAAGAAATTATTTCTGACTTCAAGAATAAATCCAATTGGGCAGAGGAACGTCACTTTTCATATCCAGAGTTTAGTCCCTAGTTTTTCCTGTAAATAATTACAGACGCTCTTGACGTGTGCCCACTTAAACATCATGTTGCGTGTGACAAATGATCATTTTGTTTGGCAACAATTTATTTCCTGCACCATTTTCTAGATTTTTTTAATAAACAGAAATTTTCAGTAATATTGCAGTAAACAGCAACCACAGAATTCCTGAAATTCACTCCACTTAATCGATAGAACTATTTTTTCTATGATAATTTTCTTACAATACACTTCCATCGCAAACTGATAATAAGGAAGTTATTGAATTTTAAAAAGAATAAAATCAGAGCTCCTGTTGCCCCTACGCTGTTGCTCAAATTGTGTGTGTTCGTAAGTTCACTTTCGGAGTAAGGTAAGAAATACTTTGCAACTGTTTATATTCTCGTGGAAGCTGCCCACGCAACTCTGGGTTATTACATAGTGCCTGGGGGTCTGGCCGCCGGGGTTCTGGGGGCGGAGCCCCTGGCTAGGGGACTAGGTATGGTTTAATTTGGTTATATTGTATAAGTTAGCAAGCACAGATTACCCGGAATTCAGAACACACAATCGTTAGAACTATTATTTCTACAATTTTTTCGTAAATAACAGAATTTCTGTTGCAAAATATGTTCTTCTGGTGTTTTCTTTTTGCGATTTGGACAATTTTGGAATTTACTTCTACCGCAAATAACTCATGGCTCTCCCCCACCCAGAACCTCAAATTCCCACGCTTTCCTCCATTATTATTATTAGAGGGTGGGGCCAAATCCAAAACAAGTGATTTCCGATAAAAACGAATGTCAGATTTGAACCAATCGCATCAAAAACCAGAAAAAAACATTTTTTATATCACATTCTTTCGTTGCTGTAATCGGCAATTTTACCAAATTTTTTTCTACTAAAAAGTTTCCTTATGCAGCTCTTTAATCCAGGCACCTGTTCTTCAAGAGTACTGTACACTCTTTGAAGTTTTCTTTAAAGGTTATGTTATGTTTGGTTTCATTAGTTTTTTGTGTTTTCAGAGCCCTCCCTACTTTGTGTGATCAAAATTGCATTTTTAAGTGAAATCGAAAATTAAAAAAATTATTTGAACATACTGTACAGATTTCTGGAAAAATGGTATGTCCCAAGAGGAAAATATTCTTTTTTTTTTTTGCTCTATTTTCCTAAATACAAATCATTATAGAGTTCCATGGTTGACCATTTCAAAATCTTTACCATTACAACTGCCTTGCATGAAATTCAAGAGCTGGACACAAGATAAATAAGCCTCTTCCAGAATGTCATCTGTGAGAACCTTTAGATATTTGGTAAATACTGTATGCAGATTAGAGCAACCATGGAATTAAAAAAAAAAGATGGTTTTCTGATGGGTTTTGGTGTGATTAGTTCAAATCTGACCATTGTTTTTGTCGGAAATGACTCATTTGTGATTTAGCTTCCGCCTCCTCCCTATAATAATACCAATACAGGGGGAGAGCGTGGGAATTCGGGGTTTTGGGTGGGGGGAGAGCAAAAAAAAAAAGTGATATGTGGATTATACAATACTGTACAACCAAACTAAACCTTACCTAACCGGGGCTCCGCCCCCTGACCCACAGTGGCCCCGCCCCTGGACCCCCAGTGGCCCTAGCCAAACTAAACCAGCCCCGGCTAGGGCCATATGCAAGGTAATTACCCAGAGTCGCATGGTCAGCCTCCACAATAATATAAATAGCCGTTACAGTATTTCTTACCTTACTCCGGGCAACAGGAGCTCGGATTTTCTTTTCAAACTTCAATAATTTCATTATTATAAATTTGAGACAGAAGTGAATAAAAGAAATTGATATTAGAAAAAAATAGTTCTATCGATTGAGTGAAGTGAATTTCCGGAATTCTTTGGTTGCTGTAATTTGCACAATTACCGAACGTAAATATACTAAATACGAATGATCAAGTTTGCTGGCGTTAAATAATGGAGTACTAGATAAATATAAAGTTAGCATTCCCATGATTTAAACAATTTTTTATTTTCAAGTGCAAATCTGAAATGTGAGCCGTGTATATAGATCAGATATTGGAAGCATAATGCGTTGTCTAATGGGAGACCCTGCTGCCATATGGCATCACGAAAATTGTGACCAAGTCCCAGGTTGCTGATCTGTCTTTCTGCCTCATTTACACACAATTGCAGGGTCTCAATCTTTTCTCTTAATGTGACAACACAACATACATAATGTATATCGTTTCCCATTCTTGATTTTTTTTTCGTTTTTGTACTTATTTATGGTTATTATTATTATTATTTGTATATTATTTTTAGTATTTTATTATTATAATAATAATAATAATTATTATTATTATTATTATTATTATTATATTTCCCCTCCCCCCCGGCCCCGATGTGGGTCAGTGATCGGTGCCCGGGTGGGCTATTCCCCGTAACAAAAATATAAATATATATCAATTCCCTCTCTATTTACATTTATAAACAAACTACCTTACAACCCACTCAGCTGATGTCCGGTCACCGAGTCCTTCACATCTACAGAGCTTCCATAGTATCAGCGATTCACTTAAACCACAGAAGTACATATCTTTACTGTATATATATTTGAAGGTAACCTTTAAATTGCAAATTCCGTAGAAAAACACTTACCAGAGAGTGCCATCATCAAATACAAGTATCTTCGGCCTTCCACTGAGCAGTGTTCTACTGCCAAGGAAAGTATATAGGAGGAAGCGCGCATACGATTGGCCCGCCATCTAGTGGCCAGGCGTCTCCAAGAAGAACAATTTTCTTTATCTTTTAAGGGTAAACTATGATAGAAAGTGAATATTTAGCGATGGCCGCGATATATATCTATGGCTCAAGATTTCCAGATTTCCTTTAGATTTATTTATTATACAATAATTATTACTGTACACAAGAGCATAGATCCTGGGGGATACCTCCCCCTATGATCAAGTTGAGGGATTTCCTATATAATCATACCCAGGGCCGGATTTGCCTACTTGTGGGCCCCAGGCCAAACTCATCAGTGGGCCCCCAAATTTAGAGAAATGTTTGCATGTTTCAATGACTTACTGGCTGAGCGAGCGGTCAGCAAACCAATGGTAACCCTGACACGTACTGAACGTGAAACGATCCTGTCCTTCACACGTCAAGGCGCTGAAGGTTTCTTGAACTTTACTCTCTCTCTCTCTCTCTCTCTCCAGTATACAGGTATATGTATGTATAGATAGATAGATAGATAGATGGTGGGACACGGACATTTAAAAACTGTATATATATTTTTTTTATTACTTTATTTTATCTTATTTTCTTCACTTTTACTATAGGGCCCAGTCCGTGGCCCACCTGAGAACCACCCCATGGCCCACCAGTTGAAGACCACTGCGGGCCTATACTTATTGTACAGGGGCCCCATACTCCAGGCCCTATACTTATTGTACAGGGGCCCTTATGGTTGTGAATATATTATATTATGAAATATTCGGTGTACACTTGAAACAAGGTTATACGCTTGCACGCTGCGCGACAAATTAGTTTCGGTGGGCCCTAGGCCAATGGCCTACTTGGTCTATTGGTAAATCCGGCCCTGATCATACCCCCTACTGTACAATTCATGTACTTCAGCTAAGGTCAACCTATTGGTGATCACAAGCAATGTCACAAGAAAAAAATACAATATATTTTTTATATAATTAGGTTCAAAGACACATTTTTAAGTCTCAAGTCATTCTCCTCTTCAATCACAACATATCCATGCCAGTGAATTTAATTTGTACACACATCATAACTTTTAGACTTTTATCCTCTTCGCCACTGATCGGCTCGTTAGCCGCTTGGGCGGTCGGTCACGTCTCTGTCACGCACTGTTGGCAAACACTCTCTGGTAGATTGTTCCTAGCTGGGCCGGATTCAGGAGTGGGCAAAGTGGGCAGCTGCCCAGGGGCCTCCACAATCTGGGGGCCTCCACATGTGCGGTAGTAGCTATATCAGGGCTGGTCGACTTGAAACCACATGAATGACTCCAGTCATGTCTCACTTTTGTGTGTGTGTGTGTGTGTGTGTGTGTTGGGGATTTGTACACTATCAATAAATATGCAGTTAATTAAAAATTTCTCAATGTTCAAATTTCCTCAATATAACTGCATATGGCTTCAAAATTCTCCAAAGAAGTGTTAAAATTTCAAAACTCGGAACTCCCAGATGTTTAGGCTCACTTCACTCGCCACCCCACCCTCTTGGGTAGTTATAATGAGGGGAGGCCTCCACAAAGAGGCTGCCCATGGGCCTCCACAGGTCTATTTCCGGCACTGGTTCCAAGAGTTTACAACCCTCGCTCCGAAAAAGTTTGCCCTCACAGTTTTCTGGACTTGAGGCTTCTTCAATCTTGAGCTGTGACCAGTGGCGTAGCTAGAGTGTGTGCCGCCCGGGGCGGCCCTTGAGTTTGCCGCCGCCCCCCCGTGACCCTACAAAAATACATATTGCACAGTGACTCACTCTTATATATATATATATATATATATATATATATATATATATATATATATATATATATATATATATATATATATATATATATATATATATATATATATTAAATAGTTTGCCTTACTGTTGTCAGACAAAAGCCACCCCGATCAAAGTAGGGGGCTTTTGTCTGGGTGGCTTTCGTCTGGGGGGCTTTTGTCTGGGTGGCTTTTGTCGGGGGGGCTTTTGTCTGTACCCCAGTGAGGATAGTGTCTTAGTATAAAATCGCAATGCTGTGAAACAAAATCTTAATATTTAATCTCAGTACCGCAGCAAAAGTCACATCAATATTTTTTAACCAATACTTTAATATTTCTTACCTTATAGTATTATGTCTTCCAACGAAGTAAATAACTGGATCGAAAACACAAGAGAACTTAAAAGTCGTCTAGCCTCCCCTCGTCTTGTCACGATGGAGACTTGTGCAGAACTGAAGTGAATTGCTTGTAACTGGTGGATTGGTCGGCTGTACATGAACTTATATGACCCGAGACTGCATGGTTTTGCAGCTACTGGAGACGTTAATTCTTCCCTTTGTATCGGCGGCAAGTTAATCCTCGTCGTGTCTGACCTAACACCTGACCCACACCACATGAGCTCACTGGCGTACTTGTTTGAAGTTGTTTCCTTAATCCTCAACAGGTTACAGGTTGTGTGTGTGGCGGGGGGCCTCATAGCAAGGGTGTAGCTCATGACGTGGCCGTGATGATGTGGGTCAGGTGTTAGGTCAGACACGACAAGGATTAACTTGCCGCCGATACAAAGGGATGGATTAACGTCTCCAGTAGCTGCAGATATGGGTGATGAGCAGACCCAAAAGTGCCGCCCCCCCAAAAGTGGCCCGGGGCGGACCGCCCCCTAGCTACGCTAGTGGCTGTGACCCCTTGTGGGGCGAGCGTCCGCCAGCTCAAAGTAAGGACACTCGACTGAGTGGTGCCCCCTGAGATACTTATACACCTCAACTAGATCACCCCTTGCCCGTCTGTAATATAAGCTAGGCAAGTTCAGGCGCTCTAATCTCTCAGGGTAGCTGAGGTGCACTTTATAAGTACTTTATAAAATATTTATAAATGGTCTTGCAGACTACAAAACATTTTATTTTTATTTAAATGTGTTGCATGTTCTACAGTACAATACTATTGTAGTGGATACTCTCCCCTACAACTGCTGACTGATCACTTGCCGTTCGCTTACCAACCAATCAGCAGCGACTTCCACAGACCAGGCCTCACTCGCGGACCTGCGTGTACAACTGCTGACCGATCACTTGCCATCCGATACCAGCCAATCAGCAGCGAGTTCCACAGACCAGGCCTCTTGTGGGGTTATGAGATATTGGTTCACACTCAGGATGGGATGGAGAAAGAAAACTCACTATGTGCTCACTGTATACATATTGTATTGGATGTACAATGCAGCTTGTTGCTGGGTAGGTAGCATGGTAATAAGCGTTGTGTAGAGAGAGCTGGGTGGTGAGGGTGCCCAGAGTGAGGGCACGCGGCTTGAGGGACGCCTAGGTCGCTGGCGGGAGCGGGAGCCGCCAGGCTGGCGCGGAGGAGGTGTTGCTTGCTGGTGGCGCTGGGTAGAAAAGAGGGTGGCCACAGCGGTGTCAGGCCTTATAGGGCGGGGGTAGGAGTGGGTAGATAGTTGACCCCTGCTCCGTGGGCGGCGCTGGAGGCGTAGGCTGGGGAATTCGAGAAGGTTCGGTGCTTGTAGGGGAGGAATCCACTACACTCTCACTCATGGACTGCGCGGTGATGGCGCCGCTCATTTTGCACCTCGCTTCTCTGATCCTAGAGAATCGTATAAATACGCTTCAGCCTGGCCGCCTCCCTTAGCCAATAAGGTCGGGGAGGGGTGCCTAGTACCTGTACACAAGCCCTTGTGGGGTTATGAGATATTGGTTCACACTCAGGATGGGGTGGAGAAAGGAAACTCACAATGTGCTCACTGTATACATATTGTATTGGATGTACAATGCAGCTTGTTGCTGGGTAGGCAGCATGGTAACAAGCGTTGAGTAGAGAGAGCTGGGTGGTGAGGGTGCCAAGAGGAGGGACACGCAACTTGAGGGACGCCTAGGTCGCCGACGGAAGCGGGAGCCGCCAGGCTGGCGCGGAGGAGGAGGTGTTGCTTGCTGGTGGCAGTTAGTAGAAAGAGGCTGGTCACAGCGGTGTCAGGTCTTATAAGGCGGGGGTAGGCGTGGGTTGATAGTTGACCCCCGCTCCGTAGGCGGCGCTGGAGGCGTAGGCTGGGGAATTCGAGAAGGTTCGACTACTCAGCGACAAACGGTGCTTGTAGGGGAGGAATCCACTACACCTTCTCCCTCAAAGAATGGGACTAGGAATGCACAATACCTGCAAAAGCCCTCCACGCAAATTGCAGAAGACCTGTATAAGCCAAAAAGAAAAAAAAAGAAAGAAAGCAATAATAACCCAACTCTGCCAACTACTAACAAAACCCACAATCCTCCCAATACAAAAACTTAATATACCCGACATTTCTAACAACCCCCTTCCACCCCTCCTTAAAAAAAATAATATATATATATATATATATATATATATATATATATATATATATATATATATATATATATATATATATATATATATATATATATATATATATATATATATATATATATATATATATATATATATATATATATATATATATATATATATATATAAGTACATTAATCAATACAACTATACATTAACCACACAAATCAAATCACACCTAAAAATCCTACTACACCATAAATCAACTTAACTACCTGAGCCCTCCCCCAAAAAAATATCCAATCTCATAACCATACCTAAAATCCTCCCAACAACTCACCATACCTGACCTTACTAACAATATCCTCCCCCCCTTACCCCTTACTATATTGACTCACACAATAACGATTCCATGACAAAAACCCAGTGAACAAAATCCCAGTGGACAAAATCCCAGCGGACAAAATCCCAGCCTCTTATCCCAAAAGTGGACAAAAACCCAATCTCATATAAGATTAATTAATAAGATTAGGTGTAAAGACCATTCGCCTGTTATCATATTAATAATATAATATTATATTATATTGTTTTAAGGTATCGTATACAATTTATATGTGGCAAAAAAACCAAAACACCAATCCTCATCTAAAAGTGTAGAGGAGTTTGTAGGGGTATCGAGATATTAATGTTGTCTAGCACTCAGGATGGAAGGAAACTCTAAT